AAGAAATGTCTGAAAGGAATATATGATCAGGCATTATATTTATGACAACATTCTAGTACAAGAGGTATATTGCAAAGTGGACTGGGGGAGGGGGAAGAGAAAGACAGGAAGGTGCAGCTATAAATGAATTTTTAAAACTCCCAACATCTGAATTAGCTTTTCTCAAACTAATGGGCATGAGTTTATTTGACTTGGCCTTCTATTTAAAAACACATTAGGGCCCTTTGGCTTAGGTGAAACATTCTTCTAAGTGGTATAGCTCTGGTCTGTCAATTTGCTGTACAGAGGTAACTCGTGGTTGCTATGATGCTAAACACTGTGACAGTGATGGGTCAAATGCAATAATGGTTATCCATGGCAGACAGTGTTTGGTGGAGCTTCCCAATTAAAACAAGCTTGGAAGCAGAGTGTCATCCACTCCCCAAATAGCTTGCCTCTAGAAACTCTGAACTTGGAGAAATGATGAAAGTTATACAAGTGTTCAGGTCTTTTGTTCATAGGGTCATTATGAGCTGTCTAGGATTCAATAGCACTTAACAACAATTCAATAATAGCGATATATTGACATTTTTATCAGATTATTCAGAAGTATATTCCTTTAATAATATTATTCAGAAGTTATATTCCTTTAATTACTGAGCATATGGAAGCCACCATTTCTTGCTAAGAAACTTAGAAAGAAGGAACCCAGTATAGCTGCACTCCAACACACGTGGGATCACCATAAGTTCGAGAAGACTTGAGGGCAACTAATAATAAAAGGGAGCCCTGGTGGCTGGTGGTAGGGAGCTGTGCCACCAGCCCAAAGGCTCTCAGTTCAAATTTGCCACCTGCTCTGTTAGAGAAAGTTGGGTAGTCTCACGAGTGATTTACAGCCTCTGAAAACTTGCTGAAGGGTCAGCTATGAGTCAGCTGTGACCAATGGCAATGAGTGAGTAAATGGTGTCTTCAGAGGGGGGAAACAGTGCATGACTGTTTGGGGAAATATTTTCTCTCTAAATATGATTCTCAAAAGTAATAGCTCTGTGCAATATACATGCATTTGTTCTAATAATGTTAATGCTCATCAAACTGAGTATGCCAACAACTCATACTTATGAGACTATGGAGAGAAAATCAGGACAAGAGCTCAAGATCCACAGTGTCAGAGCTCCTTCCCCACTTCCCAGCTGAATGCCTCAGACTTGGATGAAATGCATGAATGGATCTGGGGCTTGTGACAGCTCTCTATGGGTTAGAGCTCGTTGCCTGAGAGAAGTAGCTGAAATAGACATGGAAAGATCACAGAACAGTTTCTTTGCGCTCCTGAGGAAGACCCCCTTTGTGAAAGGCCATTGTTCATGTGATGGCATCCCGTGAGACTCTTACCAAGTCCTAGTTAGCAGGCACTTTGGCCCTTTTCCCAGGGCTTAAATGCCTTTGCAAATTTCTCTCACACTCCAGAGTTAGCAATTGTGCACTGTTGCAGGAGACTGCTGAGGAGACAGAGGGAGGTTGGGGAGGTGAGGTTAAGGTCACCCATTTTGTCCTTGCCTCTCAAAGACTTGGACCATTATTTGGGTGAATGGACTATTTAATGAGCAGTGAGAGGGTACATATCAAGTGACCAGTGGGAAGCTGGACCACTAGGGAAAATCAACAAACCCGAGAGGGTAACCCAGACTTCTTCTACTTGTGCTTCTACTTGTATTTTAGAGGAAACCAGAAGTAAATTTTGAACTATAGGAACAAGGTTTGAGGGTCTAGCTTGTACACAAAAAATAAAAACAAACCAAAACACCAAAAATCCCCCCATATGTTTCCATATGTTTTATTTTGGTAATGCTAGCTTCTCTGTAAGATTCATTTGGGTTTATATGAATAAAAAAGCAGTAAGACATTTTCTGGGCATTTCTTGAGATCCTCAAATTTTAAATATAGCAAATGACTTGGAAGGAAATTAAATTTGGGGACACGCTTTCTGGCTAAGCTTGAAGAAAAGATTCAGCAAATTTATACACCGTACAGATTAAAGAACAGTCAGAAGTGGTTTTCAAAGCAAGGCTTTTAGTTCATAGTTGCTAGTGCCAAGTTGACCCTTAGTATTAGACAAATAAGTATTGCTCATTCCAAGTAATAGACAAAAGATTGTGTGTGTTTCTTTTAGGCTAAGCATCTAGAAAATATTTCCAATAATGACATTTTCCTCTCAAATCAGTTATTACCTTTTGGAATAAACTTTCATACAATCAAAAATGTGACTGCCCTAAGAGTTCTTAGAGGCATTTCTGGTCTCTTTAGTTTGCAAAGTAGGCAACTTGAACTCAAGAAAAGAATGGTCTGGCCAAGGCCCTGCATCTGATTAGCATCAGCCTTTAGTTCCCTGTCTAGGGCAGGAGTTCCCAAGCAATAAAACCCCCAACCCCACTGCAACCCACTTGATTTTGACAGTTCTTTGACTGGCCTCCCAGGCTGTAAGGCTTTTGGGGAGGATATTGCCCATCATTCTCCTTCCGGAGTGGCTGGTGAATTCAAACTAGTGAACTTTCAGTTAGCAGCTTGACAAGTTATGCACTTAAGTGCATCAGAATCACCCTGAGTAGTTTTAAAAACACATTTCTGAGCCCTACTTTCAGAGGTTCTGATTCATATGGCTGGCGTAGGGACGAGGTAACACTTTTACTAGAAGTCTGGGAACCTCACTTTGAGAACCACTGGTCTAGAGCTAAGAGCCAAGAAGAAGGGAAAGTTTAATGTTTTATTGTGTTCAGGTTGAGTAGGCCCACGGGGGTTAGAAGGGTAGAAACTAAGGCAGACGAGTCTGCAGAGGCCTATTAGGAATGTTTTATGAATGTAAGATATTTTCAGGCTCTAGCTAAAAATTGGGGAGCACTGGGAGTATTTCTAGTAAGAAATTGCACTGCCAAACCAAAGGTACATGGTTCAAATCCACTGGCTGCTCTGAGGGGGGAAACAATGGGCAAACTCTTCCCTTATAATTTATTACCTCTGAAAACCAACTGAAGGGCTCAGCCATGGACTGGTACCAACTCCGAGACACACACAATACCTAGAAATTAAATAAGGACGAAGATATTATGAAGCAAAACATCATCAGAACAACAAAACAGAGCAGATAGTGCACGTCTGTCAGGCTTCATGGGGGTGAGAATATAGGTTACAGCAGAAAGGCCATTCAGATCCCAGGAGAAACTTGGTTATCACTTTGATCTTTTATCCTTGTCTCGAGTTACCGGAACTGCTTACTCAAAGGCTGTGTGTTTCAGGTGATTTGAATCCACCAGCTGCTCCACTCAAGAAAGATGGGCAGTTGCGACCCCTTAATATTCACAGTCTCAGAAACCGGAAGGCAGTGAGCTACATGAGCACTAAACTTGGCTGCGCAGTGGAACCACATGAGCTGTTATAAAGACAAAAATCCTAAAGCCTGGATTCCAAGTTAATGAGGTTTGGGGTATGGCCTGGCATGGACAGTTTTGTAAACTCCCAGGTGATCCTAATGTGCATCACCTTAAAAGGGAATTATACCCTGGTCTGTGTTCCTATCAGCCTTTGAGCTACAAAGTTAAGTCTTTCACAGTGAAACATCAAATTTAAGCTCAACTAACTAAAATGAAAAACAAAGTATTTTATTAAAGGAATGAGAAATATTTTGTGAAATGTGGGCATATTCACAGACATCCTTGAAGGTTGTTAGATGCTCCAAATTGCAGAGAGAACAGTGAGGGTTTTAAAAGGTGCTGCATACCAAGGATTTGTGTTCTCAGCGGTAAGGAGTTGTGCTGTCAGTGCAAGAGCAGGCAGTTTGAATCCAGCTGCTCTGTGGCTAAAAGCCGGGCTGATTTCCCTTGTGATTTACAGCCTCTTAAAACTGGAGGGTCAGCTATGAATGGTAAAGGCTGCAGTGGAGGAGGAGAACACATGGCAAAAGTTACAAAAGGTTTGTTAAAAGACAATCTTAGGAATTTTCTTGTGGTAGCAAATTAATTTGTCATATTCTGAGGCTGTTACATGCTGAGTTTTGGTTAACAAAGCATTCTGCTAGGGGCTGCTTTTTATTACAAATCGAGTTTGTCTCCTTATAGGAAGCTCTGGTGGGTAAGAAGTTGTGCTGCCAAACCAAAGTCAAGCAATTGGAATCCACCAGTTGCCTCACAGGAAAAAAACTGAGCAGTCTCCTGCCATGCCATTTATAGCCTCAGAAACCCCGGTGGGTCTGCTTCCAGTTGATTGGTAATTGAGGACAGGAGGTTTGGGGGTTGGGTTTTTTAAGCTCTCATTCAAAACTCCTGAAAGTTGAGTGAAAGCCAACCCTACCGTGTGTTTTCAGAGGCTGTGAATCATACAGGAGACTGCCCGCCGTTCTCCTGAGAAGCAGTTGGTGGATTAGAACCACCAGAGAAGCGTACCACCTTTGGGTTATCAGGACACCTCCCAATGCACTATGACACAAGACTTCCATACAAGAAATACCATCTGCCTATCTCATTCACTCTCCTTTACCGTCCCGCCACCCTTTCAAGCTTGATGTCCCTCTCCAAGGAGTAGGCTTTCATAGCAACATACACTCCCGCCCCCCCCCCAAAAGGACAGAGCTTTATCATCTTTGCCTCCATGGACCACTCTGGCTGCACTTTCTCCAAGACATATCTGTTTGTTCTTTTGATAATCCATGGGATATCCCATATTTTTTCCCAACACCACAGCTCCAAGCATCAATTTTTCATCTGTTATCCTTAATTATTGCCCATCTTTCAGATGCTCTTCAAATCCTCCAGCTGCTCTGCAGGAGAAAAATGGGCAGTCTCCTCTCCTGTGATCTCCAGGCCCTGGAAACCTGCTGGAGGGTCAGCTGAGGGTTGGTTCTAACTCAATGACAATGAGTGGTGAGCGACTGATGACCAAAGCCTTATTCCAACAATGCTTTTATAAACCTTTATTCCTCCTTAGCTTATTCCTGCATTGCAAAACGTTTTAGTGAAATTATTTTTTTTTATTGCACAGACATATATTTAACAATGCAGTTTTACACAGAAAGCTAAGAGCACTTTTCTTCATATTTTACAGAAGAGCTTGAAACAATATGGACTTTGAATATTTATACCATGACGCAGCGAAATCTAAGTAGATGCATTACAATTTGTGTAGTTTAAAGGCTTAATGGCAGAAATCAAAGGAAGAAAGAGTTAAGTTTATTTTACATAACTGACTGGAAAATACATTCAAGAAACAGTAAATAGAACTCAGTATGGTCTCATGCGCCCACAAGGAGGTGGTGCTCGGTTTGGAGGGGTGATTGCTATGTCAAGATAATCTCCTATCCGGAATTTCTGTGACTGCAGGGTCATTGAATCATCAGTGCCCTTTCTGCCAGACATGGTGCTGCCAATCTCCTTGACTCGATAGCCAGGTCTTTTAAGATCTGTAAAAACAATTGCAAAATTGAAGTGTGTGCCCTTCTTTCTAGCTTCTGGGTAGACTTCTTTTACCAAGCTGGTCAATTCTTTCAAAGTTGCATCCATCCAAGTGTAGATCTGCAGCTCGCTGGAGGGCACGTTCCCGCGGGAAAACTCATCCATCCGGTGGTGGCGACCGTTACTGGTGGTGAAGACCCGCAGCAGCAGCGGGCACGTCTTCTCCCTATCGATCGGCTTCTCCGGTTCCTTTTTAATTTCTTCTTGAGTGACGCGCGACGCCACCGCCATCTTTCTCCTCCGGCCCGCGAGACGCTCGCTTTGACCTCCGACCACAGCCGCGAGCATGAGCAACTGAGCTTTAGTGAAATTCTTAATCAGAATACCTGGCCAATGATATTGTGTAAAATTAAACTTTTTTTTTCATAATCTTTTAAAAAGTAATTGTTTTTTAAAAGAGAATGAAATGATACCTGGGATTTGCTTTAAATTTCTCCATTAAAAAAGAAAGATAAGATTAGTTTTAATGAAAAAAAAAAAGAAAGAAAGATAAGGGCATGCGTGACGACAGAGCGGACGGCAGGTTGGGAAGAGCGGCACTTGCGCATTAGCATCGGGGATGTGTCTCCACTGGTAGCCAAGTCGGGGGTGGGTAGTTGCGAAAGGGGTTAGCGCCTGCTTTGTGATACTAGGCTCTAGGAGGTGATTGAGTTGAAGGGTCTGATGCGTCGTGAAGACGAGAGCCTACACCTCCGGCTGTGGGTGGTGGCAAATCAGGAGACGGGGCGTGGCTTCTAGGACGCCTGCAGCAATGTTCTTTCAAGGGTGGGTGGGGCGAGCCCAGAATTGCGAGCGGGGGGCGTGGCTTTAGTGGCGCCTGCGCAGAGACGGTTGGAGGGAGGCCCGATTCCTCTTTGTTCAGGTTCGCCATTTGGCGAGTTAGCGGCCGTGGCGGCGGGAGCGGCAGCTGGAGCCTCTGATTGGGCGTCGGAGTCCGGTACTGGAGCCAATCAGCGCCGGGGGAGCGAGGCACGCATTTTCAACAGGAGTGTACCTTGGCGTCTCCTAGTATCTGCACGGTACAGTACACTGTGGGCAAGATTCTGACATGGAGCAGTACACAACCAACAGCAACAGTTCGACGGAGCAGATTGTTGTGCAGGCTGGACAGATTCAGCAGCAGGTCCAAGGGCAGCCATTAATGGTACAAGTCAGTGGAGGACAATTAATCACATCAACTGGTCAGCCCATTATGGTTCAGGCTGTTTCTGGTGGACAGGGTCAAACCATGCAAGTCCCTGTGTCTGGGACACAGGGTTTGCAGCAGATACAGTTGGTGCCGTCAGGACAGATCCAGATCCAAGGTGGGCAGGCAGTGCAGGTTCAGGGCCAGCAAGGCCAGACCCAGCAGATCATCATCCAACAGCCTCAGACCGCTGTCACTGCTGGCCAGACTCAGACACAGCAGCAAATTGCTGTCCAAGGCCAGCAAGTGGCACAGACTGCTGAAGGGCAGACCATTGTCTACCAGCCAGTAAATGCAGATGGCACCATTCTCCAGCAAGTTACAGTCCCTGTTTCAGGCATGATCAGCAGCCAGTCTGGCAGGAGCCCAGATAGTTCAGACAGGAGCCAGTACCACCACAACCAGCAGTGGACAAGGAACTGTTACTGTGACACTGCCGGTGGCAGGCAATGTGGTCAATTCAGGAGGAATGGTCATGATAGTGCCGGGAGCTGGCTCAGCGCCTGCTATTCAAAGAATCCCACTACCTGGGGCAGAGATGCTTGAAGAAGAACCTCTCTATGTGAATGCCAAACAGTATCACCGGATTTTAAAGAGAAGGCAAGCTCGGGCCAAGCTAGAGGCAGAAGGGAAGATCCCAAAGGAAAGACGGAAATACCTGCATGAGTCTCGGCACCGTCATGCTGTGGCACGGAAGCGTGGTGAAGGTGGAAGGTTTTTCTCTCCAAAGGAAAAAGAGAGTCCTCATATGCAAGATCCTAACCAAGCAGATGAAGAAGCAATAGCACA